GCAGTTTAAAAACAATATGAATTATGCGACTAATTTTTAAGATAAAAATGAATTGTGTGAACAAAATATTTAAAAAATACAAGAGAAAGAAAGCAAACAATTGCAACAAAATTGATTACAATAAAATTGATAATAAAAATTTTAAAATACATAAAGCCAATACCCCCACCCCAATTCACATCGTTACCACACAATCACTGAGCAAACACCCACTCATGTTCCTTTTGAACAGGAGTGGGTTTTTGCCTTACAGATGGAAACACTTCCTTTAACCCTTTTCATCATCTGCCGCAGTGAACGCTTAGACATGGTTCGTTCATATTTACTGTCTAATTCATCTAGGATTTTGATGAATTCATCGGACCTCCAAGGGAGGGGCTTTGTTCTCAAAAAGCTGTCGTCATCAGAGTTGTGCTCCTCCTCTGATGACATGTAGCTCAATTCAAGAGCACTTGAGACTCGCTGTTTCTTTGCCTCATCCCAACCCGACTTCTTCTCCACCATACTCCTTCTCCACTGCAATTTCTATAAGCATACAGAAATTATGATTACATAAACATCATGTAGCAATATTTTTTTGTATACATATTTTTAATATGTTGAAAATTCATATGGAATTTTCTGTAAATACAAGATATGTACCCTCTTTCTCCTGCTGTAGTGGAGCATTTTGTTCTTATGTTGCTCCACTTTTCCTGTTTTTTCTTTGTGTATTTTTTGAGCCATAGACTCAAAATACCGAGCAACTGCAGCTGTAAGAATAAGAAATATTTGTACATGTATCTGAAAATATTAGTAAAGACAATAAAATCATTACATATATGCAGAAAGATTCTACATTTGTACTATGAATACAATAAGCTATGACATTCAAGGCTTGTGTGTTTATATTTATTTGATTTTGATTGATCATCCTTCAAAAAAAGACATATTGGTTAAAATAAATAGGTCAAGAGTAGGGCATCATTTACACTTTTCAAATAATTTTCAGTTTTCAATTCAACTCTGGTTAAAAAAGCCACAAAACAATACAATTATTAATACATTTACAGGTACAAGAACTCTCAAAATAAAGTTTATTCTTTTAATAGATTTGTCGAAGAAAACAATGAAATATTAGCCCCTATCATGACTTCTTTCAACTTGTAATAGCAACAATTTCATAATTGTAAAATGTAGTGTATTCTAGAGTCATAACTTTTCCTGACAGTTGTACGTTATGAATAAAATAAAATGGCATATATATTTTTTCATGTGTGCAGCCATTGTTTTATTGTGCTTCTTCATAAATATTGCATCTTTGCAATTAAATGCAATTACTATTAATTTACTCAAAAATGTTGAGACTGAGGTTCTCAATGGAAAAAAAATAGGTTACGGTTGAAAGAGGTGACATGCTTTACAAATTGAAAATGTAGTTCACTGCTATCTCATACCAGTCCAGTTGTACACAACTTCTGAAGTTCTGGTAATGACTAACCATTCTTGACATCAAACTCAAATGGCAGTTAAAAGGCCTATATTTTACTTAACAAGTGCCAGATGGGTGATAAGCATTCACCAAGTCTAAGGAAACTTACCCTGTAGGATCCCCTCCTGCACATCATGATATAGCCCTTTTACAAACTGTTTCACAGCCTGTGTGGTGGCCTTGTTCACTTCGGATGATACTCTAAAAATGTGAAAGTTAATAAATTTTATATTGTCTCAAAGGCATATATTTAAGTTTTTTAAGATATTTTTTTCATAAGATTTTAATTAAATGCAGCATTTCAGTACCAGTTTTAAACACTTAAGTAGAAATATAAAAAATTACTTTGGTAAGTTGGGAAGTACATGTAATTGCTATTAAAATCAATCAAAACAAAATCAAATACTTCAGCTTAAGGTCTCCCATCTTAGTTTGCCAAGCAGCATAGCCATCCTCTTCAACAAGCTGCCTATATGCATCATGTACGGCTGTCTACATAAAAGAAAAATAACATAATTCAGGGTCTTGGGTTTGATTCCTCAGTTGAAACATCATTTTTCTGTACTTTAAAAATAAGAAAATGGTGCATATCAAAAAGTAAAAATAAATAAATTTACTTTCCCAAAACTGCTGTTTTATCACAAACATAAAGATATGGGGTCAATTACTGTGAATTGCATGTATATTCAAAACACATATGATCACTGATCAGTGTTGTGTTGTATTATTTTGAAATACTGTAGTATTAAAAACCCAATTGCAAAAGATCATTGTATTTCAGATATAATCATTAGTAAATGTACCCTTCAAAAATTATCAGCAGCATTCAAATTTTGAAAAAATGTTGATTGAATCTTATAGACATGTCTTAAACGTACTCTAATTTTTGGAGGAACATCAAAATGCGGTTCTTCTTTCCTTTTCCCCTTCTCTTTGATCCCCTCTTCCCTCATAGATTTCACTTCATCTTGAAGTTTATCTATCTTCTTTTCCATTGTTTTTAAATAACGTATAATAGCCTAAATAAAATAAAATGAAAGAAATGAAGGATGCACAATGTAGGTTAAGTGTATATATATTTCTGAATACAAATATGACAGTAAGACGCATGAAGAAATATGTAATTTATACAAGTCATTAGACTGATATTAAGTTCATTACAGCATTCACCAACTATCAGTTGCATCTTACTAACTACTCTACTGACTTAATGAAGCCCTTTATATATCTGTTAAATAAACTTTAATCCTTATAAAAATGTTTAACAATAACTGAATTTCTTCAAAAAAGGGCAATGTTCTAATGTTGATTTCCACATACCTCTTCTCCTGGGGAGAACTGGGGACTTGAACTTGGACCAGCCTGAGGAAGAGATTCAAAGGATGGCATTCTAGGAAGCTGGAGGAAATAAATTATTTATCATTATATGACCTATATGTTTAAGCAGAGAAAGGGGGGGTATATAGCCAGGGACCTACATATTTGTGTATACAGTTATACAGTAAGAGTATAGGTCCCTGGTAGAGCCCACCCGTCCTCTCCTTCCTTTCTCCTTAATTTAATTACAGTGTGTAATATATAGATCATGGGTATCAACATTGATCAATTAATGAATCATTGCATAAATTCCATTGTACATGTACAGCTAATGTATCAATTTCAACATGTTCAAGGCAAGAATGCATGTGCATATAAGTACTTACTGATCTACTTAGTCTACGACTGACAGAGTTTTTTGGCGTAGAAGTGAATATGGTCGAGGGAGGTGAAGATGACCTCTTCTTGGAGTTAGGCCTAGCGTTTTTCTGGAAATACTAGGCCTACGTCCCGTCAAGGTGCTAGGCACATCAGAGTCATCACTACTCTGTTCATTCCCATCTGGGCGATAACTTTCTTCTGAGTCCACCATGTCCACGTAAGAGGAATTTTCATCAGAGGACATAGTGAAATTTAATCACTGTTCTACAGTAAGGATGCGGCAGCGCGGAATAATTGAAATCGAACTTTCCGCCAATTTTAATGTTAATTGTTATTTTCGCATCTTCACAACCCAGGGGTTTCTTCAAGTCTATTTTACTGTTTAAACATATATTGCTTAAACAAAAAATATCAAAATAATTAACCTCGTTTGAATTATTGAATTTTATCCTGTCTTTCCCCTTGATTTACTTTAATATAAATTACGAAAATGTACAAGGATGAATTCCATCATTTTCATCCAATCAGCAGCAGCAGTTTCCGCGGCAGTAACTTGACTCCTAGCCGGTGTAAACATGTGTGAAAAGAAATTGGTGAATATTTAGAGTTCTGAGGTTTAAGAAGATAACTTACAGGTATGTGTTGAAAAGATATACTATTCAAAATTACATGATGTCATTGTGATGTCATTTGTCAGTACCCTATGTTACAATTGGAATAAAAGCTACAATTTACAAAGTTTTAGTTGACCTGTGTCGGCCTCAATATTGGGCGCGGTGCCGCCATCTTTTACAATCTAAAATCACAAACAAAAGGAATATTGTCTTAGAGTACAGGCCAGTTTCTTATATCCTTTTCAGCAGTTCAGTAACAGCTGAGTGACAGTACTAGTTTCATGAATTATTTGATTTATTTCAGTCCCATCAGAAATACATATTTTATGTCTTCTAGTTCCATGCACATGCATGTCTACTATAAATAGTTTACCAATGTTGGCCAACACTACACCTAACATACAGGGAAATCTCATTTTACGGTATGATACATGTATCATCTTTTTGTAATTATCTGTACAAAGAGGGTAGTATCCATGTCATTCGAGTACTGCATGATTAAAATATACAAGGATTTCCCACTACCCAAGGTAGGACCAAACTCCGTCCTCATTCACAGGTGCAAAAGCCCCCCTTTCCCACCTAAAAAATTCCTGCTTTTCTCCCCAAACAATAAGTTGCATTCAAAATTTTATCGGGATCGGAATACGCTAAAACAAACTAGGCCTAGTATAAACAAAAGCACCCCAGGTTGGAAATGATAAGTTATTTTAATGATTTCAACATAGAGCGACATGATTCTGATATGAGCTTGAAAGAGATGTTTTGGTAGGTTTTGAGGATAAGAGTAAAAGGTATTAAGGTAAAGAGTTGATATGTTTAAATCCATGTGATATCATGTTTATATCAATATGCAATTATCGGTGTCAAGTTGCCAACACAAATTTCCTCAAGAACTTAAAGAATAAGTGTATGGCAATCATTGACACGTTTTGAAATAAAAAACAATGAAAAAAGACAGAGCAAAATTAATTTGATATATAGGATTCACTATTTCAAGAGAAATAAACATGTTATACAGTAAATAACCATAATTTGTTAATTTCATGAAAATTTAATCCATTGAAGTTTAACCATTTCCTGATAATGGTTTAGCTGTTAGTAAAAATTAAGTTTGACAATTTATTTCATTTTTCAGGTCATTAGGTTACCATACTGAGATTGGTTAGGGTTCCTCTTGTGAACTGCAACACAGAATTACATACACCATCACAAGAGCCACATTTCTGTAACAGCTGGGCCAAGCACGATTCGGATAGTTGGCAATATAGAAGAAGACAGGAGCATTAATAGAAATATATGCACCAAGTAAGGAAGTTTATTTCAAATGGTTCATGCTATTAATTTTAAAATTATTTTACACATTTTACAAGATTTTTTTTATTGTCAACCAAAGGTATGTTTAACATTTTTTTCACGAGGTTGCACACACTGAATTGAAATTTGGTAGAATGTATATAGATTTATCAAAAGAATATCTACAAACATCTGTTGTTGATATTATCATTAATTTTATTATAGATGAAATGGGAAAACACTCTCTAGAAAATAAAAGGAGGAAGAGGCAAGAAAAAAGGAAGAAACACAGAATGGAAAAGGCAAGGCTCCTGCAGTTGAATGAGAGTTCTGAGGAATTCGAAATGTTCAATAAAAAAAACAGTAAATATTACCGCTATTTGTGATGAAAAGTGATCAATTTTAGGGTTGGACACCGGTACACGGTACCAGTACCGTACTGAATAGTTACTTCAAAAATACCTGTAAAATACCGTTTCATTTAATACCGGTACTGATAACGGTATTTCATAATCTTTAAAACATTGTTAAAGATTTAATAAAATAATTTTTTGAAAAAGATTCCAGACTCGCGAAACTTGATTCTCTGTGCATTGAAAGGGTAGGCTAATTAACAAAATCAGTACTGAGGAAGATACTTCCTTTCTACAACCGATATTCGAGAAAAACCAACACTTATTAAAAAAATATTTACATTAATCTTGTTTCAGTTTTATTAATAGAAACCAATAAAAATTGTCAATTAAAAAGGGAAATCGTTGCGAATTTGTGATGTAATCTCTCTCCATTTCTCATGTTTCGTCGTTTAGTGATACCAAGCAAAATGGCGACAGGATGAAGCAATCAGCTGTCATTTAGCAGAGAATTAGACAACAGTGTTTCTTATATTTTTTTTTATTTTATTGAGATTCAGATTAATTTGTTTTGTTCATCATTTAATAAAAGGTTGAATTATAGAAATAGAATATATTTAAAACATTTTAGATTATAACATTGAAAGTTTGGTTATAAGCGGTGATAATTGAAAGCATATTTGTCATTAAAATAAACCCGGATTCTCATTCATCAATGTATAGTACATTCCGTTAAAAATACCGTATCCTTTCAAAAATACCGGTATGGTATCGTACCGTTTCATCCTTAACGGTATCCAACCCTAATCAATTTATTTTAGAATATACAACTTGTATTAACTCAAGGTAATGAATGTCATTGTATGATTGCTTGCTTAACATTACTATTATTATATACTCATATTGATGAAAAATAATTATTGAAGATGAAAAGGAATTCTTATAGGTAATTTTATTAAATTTGAATGATTTCCATTTTTGATACAATTGCTAAAATTGTTCAGCATACATATTTTGATTTTAATATTAATTTTTGCAGCGGAGAAAGTTGGTCTTGAGGAGGAATATTCAATTTTAGAGGAGGCAGAAAAGGAAGTAAAATCACAGTGCGCAAAGGATTCCATATATATCGATGAAACGTTCATAGAAAAGAGGACCAATTACAAAACGGCAAAAGAATTATTTGGGGACGGGAACAGGGATGCGGTTAAGTTGCGAAAAACATTGGAGGATGAAAGACAGAAAAGAGAAAAGCTTTTAAGATTTACTAACCATTGTATTCATTTTATAAAAAGTAAGAAGAAATGTAAATTTTGCTGCAAGACTTAAAAGGATTTTTGATATTGTTAAATTGGTTAGTAGTATATTTCCAAAGATTTTGAGTTATTAGCACATTTTTTAGTCATGAGTAATTGTATATTTTTTGGTAATTATCTATTTTAAGCTTTTTCAATAATGAGTTGTTAGAATTGTATTTTTTGCAATTTTTGAATTTAATAGTTCCAAAAGGGAATATTTATAACCATGTCAGGGAAACAAAAACTTTCAGTTTTTCACCAAGCTCAAAGAAAAAAAATGTCAAGGAAAGAATGTCCAGGATGTAAACAATCATTTACATCTAGGTATTTTAGGCAGCATAAAGAAATGTTTTTTTGTAATAATCAATGGAGTTGTTCCAAGTCTGGGTTAGAAAATGTTGAATTTTTATCTCAGGAGAATGTAGAGGAATCATCAGAGAGTTCATCAGATGAGAACCTATCTTCTCATAGATTACACAATGTTTTTCAATCATACATTAGCAAAAAATTTTCTGTTAATTGTGACGCTGAGTCTGAAAGTGAAGATGAGGTCTGGAATAATGCAAGTTTGGAGGATTTAGATTTAGACCTTCAAACAGAAGAACTTTGTGAAAGAAATGAAATTAATGATGTGAATGTTTCAAACCCAAATATAAAATTTGGGACACTTTTGATGTGGTTATGTATATTCATTTGTACCTGGCAAGCCATTTTTATGCTGCCAGACTGTGTTATAAACAGCCTTCTTTCATTTTTACATACATTCTTTTCTAGAATTGGAAAAGAGTCATTCATATTTTCAAGTTTAGCTACTATTTTTCCAGGCTCAGTTTATTTGTTATGGAAAAGAATAGGCTTGAAAAAAGACAATTTTACGAAATATGTTGTATGCAGAAAATGTTTTTCTATTTACCTCTACAATGATTGTGTATTGAATTTAGAGGGCCAAACTGTGTCTGCTAAATGTCCTTTTGTAGAATATCCTAACCATACACAGCCAGCAAGGCGTAGACCATGTGGGGAATTGTTGTTAAAATCTGTAACACTTTTAGATGGTACAAAAAAACTTTACCCATTTAAAACTTACTGCTATAAACCTATTCAAGAATCTTTGCAAGATTTAGTTAAAAGGCCTGGGTTTAAAGATCTTTGTAACCATTTGCGATCAAGGAAGAAGTCACCTGGGTTTTTGACAGATATTTATGATGGAAATGTCTGGAAGGAGTTTCAAAGTTCAGAAAAAAATAGCTTCTTAACCCATCGAAATAATTATGGTTTAATGTTAAATCTAGACTGGTTTCAGCCATTTAAACATGTTAAATATTCAGTTGGTGTTTTGTATGCAGTAATTTTGAATTTGCCCAGAAATGAAAGATTTAAATTGAAGAATGTATTGTTGATAGGTGTTATTCCAGATTTAAAACATGAACCTTCTGTAAATAGTTTCATAACACCTCTTGTTAATGAGCTTAAAGTAGCATGGTCACAAGGATTTCAGTTGGCTTCATGTAAAAGTTCGTATTTGAAAAAGAATTTTAAAGTTGCGGTCATGTGTGTTGGATGTGACATTCCAGCAACACGGAAATTATGTGGATTTTTGGGTCATTCTGCATCATTAGGTTGCTCAAAATGTCTTAAAAAATTTCCAGGTAGTGTAGGCAATAAAGATTATTCAGGTTTCGATGTAAAGAATTGGTCTGCAAGAACACTTGATGCTTATAATTTATCTTCAAAAGCTGTAAAAAAAGCCAAAACTCAGACTGAGAAAGAAAAACTTGAAGCCTTTCATGGAGTGAAATATTCAGTATTGAGTGAAATTGAGTATTTTGACCCCATAAGAATGTCCATTATTGATCCAATGCATAATTTATTTCAAGGAACTGCCAAAAAAATGATGAAAATGTGGCTTGATTTGAAAGTTTTACATTCAGATCAGTTAGTTTTGATTCAGGAAAAGGTTGATTCTGTTGATGCAGCAAGCAACATAGGAGGAATTCCTAGAAAAATTGCATCCTCATTTGGAGGATTTACTGCTGAGCAATGGAAAAATTGGACACTTTTTTTCTCCATATTTGCACTTGCAGATATTTTGCCAAAAACAGATTTGGATGTATGGCGAAATTTTGTTTTAGCATGTAGAGCTTTAACCTCTAAATTTATCTCAAGTGTAGAATTAGCTAAGTTTGATAATTATGTTATTGAATTTTGTAAAGGCGTGGAAAGAGTTTATGGTGATTCTTGTATCACACCAAATATGCACATGCATTGTCATTTATCACAATGTGTACTTGATTATGGTCCTGTTTATTCTTTCTGGCTTTTTAGTTTTGAAAGGTATAATGGTCATTTGGGAAGTATCCCAAATAATAGTAGGTCTATAGAAATGCAGCTTATGAGAGTTTTTTTAAGAGATTCTTTTGTACATTCTTTGCAATTCCCTTGTTTGTATTTTGATGAATTTAAAGGGTTTTTATCACAGCCAGCGACAAAAATCAAACACTTTTATTCCAATAATTATCGTTTAATTATAAAATAATGTTTTAAACTGTTGTATTTAAGCAGTCCGTAATGTTTTGAAAATCTCCACTAATTAGATAGGGGTCACGTGGTACTTTGAAACGTCATAGGTGTCAATGGGCAATTAGACAGAAAAAAATAGCTCGTAAAGCGTATCGTAATTCTACCGTATAGATATTTGCATGAAATAAAAAGAATACACCGCTAGGTTGGAAGAAATTCTGATATTGACAATATAACTTTGGCTATGGATGCTCAATCTTATATGAATTAACTTATACAACAGAAAAATAAACAAAAAACATACCGTGAAAGGAGGATAGGGCATTGAATACGAAGCCGTTAATGAAGACTCCTGCCTTCGACTAAACAGATCGAATTATTAACGTTTAACTTCTTGAATAATTATAAAAATGATTTTAATAAATTATACATAAACAGGTCTTGTGTTTCTTGTATTGTTCAATGAACATCATTTGATAGAAAGGCCACTTCGATCTTCAAAAGCGCCGTGCAGGACAACACATAGGCAAATTTGCCGGACTTTTAATATTGCCTATTGATAAATTATTATTTTTTGAAAAATACTATTTGAAAAATGTGTGATCGTTTTACATTAACATTATGTCATGTCTGAATATGTTCCAGTCACTGACCGAAAAATTGCATCCGTCACCGACCAAGTCCCTGGCAAGTAAAAAAACTTCCTAAAACCTTTCCTGTGCTGATTTTTCATAAACAAACGCCAAAATTATATCTAATTATCTATCAATTAACCAATTATCGTTTATTTAATTTCTAAGGGTTTTAAGACGAAGCCATTGAGCCGTTTTGTAAACACGATAAGTACTTTTATGACACATGACGTCAGAGCAATGGCGCGCATTCTTCTGGCGATCAAAATATGCATATTGAGAAATTCAAACTTTGAATCGCTGAAACACCCAAAATATTAATTTTCTTACCAAAAAAAATTTGATGGATGATTTTCATAGCATATAAACCTTGTTATATCAAAAAATCATGATGCATGATAAAAACCCTTTAAGAAACATTTTCCAAGTGTGACAGAGTTATGTACAGACAAAATTACTTCTGATTCTGATATTTTGAAAATATTGTACATGTCTAAGAGAAGTGCTCAGATTATTGGGCAGGACTGGCAAATTTGTTCTGCATTTGAATGTCAAAAGTCATCATGTCATGTTCTATGTTCAGCTGACTTTGATATGTTAAAAAAAACATACAAACATATTTACCCAGATCTCTGTGAACATATAGATTGTATTCCAAAGTCTTATAGAAAATGTTCATTTATCTCTCTTGGAGGAGAAGTTTATGGATCTTGTCAATCTCGTCACAAGCGATCTTCATTTGTCATGGCGTACTGGCATTCAAACGATGGAAAAATCATTGAAGAAGTTGGATCAGGCGAACTCCGCCCCGGAATAATTCAGTACTTTTTGCAGCACAACCTCATTGTAGGAGATGAAAACCGTGTTCACTTGTTTGCAAAAGTCTTGTGGCTTGCACCACTCCCAAATGTGTACAGATATCACTGTGGAAAGCCTGTTGAGTTATGGAGACAGAATGTTTTTGACACTTTTGGACCTTCTGCTTTCATTCCAGTTCAGAGAATCAGTAGTAAATACATTTGTGCTGATGGTATGCTTTTTAACAAGTGTGTATCATATGTTTGTCCTGTTATTAAAGGTGTAAATGTGTGAACAAGTTTAAATAAGGTTCATGTATTTTAATTGCTGTATTGATAAATTGAGGCATTTGGAAATGATGCATCCTCTCTGGAAGGATGTGCGTCCTGTGCCAGGTGGTGTCGGCCATCTTGGAAGGATGTGCGTCCTGTGCCAGGTGGTGTAGGCCATCTTGGAAGGATGTGCGTCCTGTGCCAGGTGGTGTCGGCCATCTTGGAAGGATGTGCGTCCTGTGCCAGGTGGTGTAGGCCATCTTGGAAGGATGTGCGTCCTGTGCCAGGTGGTGTCGGCCATCTTGGAAGGATGTGCGTCCTGTGCCAGGTGGTTTCCGTCATCTTGGAAGGATGAACTTAATGTGCCTGGTGTAAAATATAGATGTGCCTGGAGATTTCATTAACTGTTCAATGTTATTTTTTTAAGTGTGTGTTATAACATTTGAATTGTTTATTGTATCATTGGTACTTCAGAAGTAAAGTGTTTTTTTTGCAATTTTTTAGACCATTATTATCATTATTATTTTATAGAAGTAATGGAGTTAGTTGATACATGACATGTTCATTTAAATGAATAAAATTTTGTTCAATGTTTATGAGAACTTTTGTGCTGTTTGTATAATGAGTATTTCATTTAAAACTAAATGAATTCTTAATAGATGAAAGAAAATGTGGATTGCATGGTTGATTGCAACCAGTGACCAATGAAATGCAACATGCAATATAGAGAGAGTATTCTTTTCCAATAAAGGGCCCAAAGAGAGGCACGGAAGATAAATTAGTAGACAAAGGCAGTGCATTATCAATTAAGATAATAGATATGAATTTAAAATTGTGTGAAATTAAAATAAATAAAAAACAAGTTGTGCTTTACAGTTTACAATATCATTTTAAATGATGAGAGAGTTATTGTCCAAGTTGAAATAAGAATTTATTATTATAATTTTGACATAGAGAAAGGAATAATGATTTAATTTATTTTAATGTCTGTAGTAAAGACATCCATGATCAAAGGGAAAATATAAACCCATTTTAAAAGGTGGGTGGGGCATCAATTAAAAAAAGGGTATAAATTCCAACTATTTGCATCACCATGATTTACTTTTGCAAACAGATGGGGTAGCAATGAATGAACAATCTCACCAGCAAAATATGATATCTGAAAAAAGGGGGACAGTAGCATGTTTAACGTATTTCTTCGACAAAATTGCTGATCATTTGTCATAAAATAAAATTTTCCTTAAACCCCAATTATACTTGAAACTCCGGGTTTAATGGCGTTTAATCATTTTTAAACATGACGTAAAGTTGAGATTTAATTACCATTAAACTTTGGTGTATAATTTAATATTAAATTCGAATTAAACTTGAAAGTTCATGTAAAATGTAAATTTAATTAAGTTTAATTTTAGGTCCTCCTACACTTTTTATGACACTTTCACTGCATGAAAAGTCGGGTTTAATTTTACCTTAAATGTGATTTAAATGCTGCGATTATTTAATGTTTAAATGCATATTATAATATATTGTGGGATCGTAGATGTTAGAAAATAATTAGCATTTAATACGAGTTTAATGAAAAATTAAAAGAACAAATTTAATAAAGTTTGGAAAATTGTAAACTTACTAATACGTTCGGATTTTAGTCTGCCGTAAACAATTATTATACCTCTAATATACAAAACGTATAATTATTATTAAACATGGCCATAAAATTAAGTTTTACGGTCACATTAAATTTGTTCGTTTAATAAAATTTAACGTAGATCTTTACCTCATTATTTTTTGTTAAATTCACACTTTACTTTATAATACTTCCAAAAATTAAGTTATATACGGAGAATTATAAACTTACTAATACGTACAAATTTTATTCTTTCATAAACTAATATTAAATCTCTTGTATATGTGATGAAAATGTACGGATTAAACCTTCCCATATAATTAAGATTTAAGGTTGTATTTGATGAAATTTAACATTATTATATTATTGCATAATATTTTTATTTTACATTTATTCCATCAATAATTTGTATGGTTTACAATTGTGGGTTTTTTGGCAAGTATTTTACAATCTTACACAAATCCATTTCTCATTCAATTTTATTAGATGTTATCTCAATAGTGTACAAACAATGAGTTCTAACAAAGTACAAAATATTTCAAATTTAAGCCTAAAAGTCAGAATTAAAAAATTTACAATCATGACTGTAGCTCAATTATAATGGAGTAAATTTCTACATACTAGTAGTAAGTAATATACTGAAGTAATTATAAATAATATAAGAATAGTATTGTATGTAAAATTCAAATCCGCAATAAATCAAAACACAACAGGTAAAAAATGTAGTCATTCTGGACTCCAAAAGACTGCAAAATCTTACTGAAACTGCCCCTATTAAAACTTCTGCATGGGTTGTAAATGGCTTTTCAATTTCCCACAATAAATTATATCATACTTTGCATAAAAAGAATAAAAGTTGCCAATAAAAGTTGTCCATTCTTTTTACATGTGCATTTTAATAAGACACACTAAGCAATTAACAGAGAAGCCTCACTCGCCCACAAGCAACAGCAAAAGGATCGGTCAGAGACACCACCTTTCTCTTGCTTGGGTATCAAGATCTGCAACTTACTGCCAGCAAAGCTCTTTTAGACCACCCTTGATCATGATTGTCTTATTTTTTCCACAATAATGTCCATGCACTTATTATTTAAGTTAGACTTGTACATATATGTGATATATAAATCAAGATTAAAATGTATGTCATTGCAGACCAATAAATGTTTAAACAATAAAACACATAACAGTTTTAATCTGTAATCAAGCATAAGAAAAAACTTTCACTGTCAAAAATACAACACTAGGTATATTTTTCTTATCTAACATTGAATTTGTGCAAAACAGTAGCAACTCAGATATTTCATCTCTAATAGCCCATCTCTGTTCAATTAATACATCCATAGGTTTGACTCTTTTAGATTCTTTATTTGTCCTAGTTCTTCTTATGCTCTGCCTTTTAGAGTGCTTTGATTTGAGAATGGCACTTTTGGTGTCCTGTTCTTTGAAGACATTCTCACATTCATCAGAACGCAACTTCAGCTTTCTAATTTCATAGATAGTATTATCTTTAGAATCATTTTTTGTACTATGAAGACGTAATCAATATTTAAAACTGCTTTTTCTTGCTTCTTCTTCTCTTCATGCCAAGAAGTTTTCAGCTCTGGAGAAGCACACCTAGCTCCTAATTTCTACAATAAACATAAAAATAAATACCAATTTGCCTATATATACATATTATATGTGTGCTTCCGGATTTATGCAATTGCATATATTAAATAGTAAAAACAAAATCTGAGTTGATTTTAAAATTATCATTTGACCTAGAGGAAACACAGCTCAATTTTGCTTAATTAAAAATTTACAGAAGACTACAAAAGATATGCCATTTTTTCAAATCTGGGTAATAAAGACAGATAATTATCTATAATTTCAGGCCAGCGAGCTACAGATTTCTAAGCGTGTAAATTTGGGTCTAATGATTTTTTTCACCATCTTTTTTTTTTTGGAGCATTTTACCTGCTTGACCTTGAACATGTTGAGGTGCCCTTTTCTCTGCTCCTCCACACTAATTCTTTCATTTAGCAGCAAGATACTATGGATATGGTAAAAAGCTGTCATAAACAAAATATGAAAAATTAATAACAGGTGTGGCTCTCCATAGAAAGAATATACAAAAAAGGAGAAAAAATATACAAACAGGGTATACTTATGACTAACATGACTACGGCAAGAAGATAACATTTTACACAATGAAAAAAATTCTCTGTGTCATCTAGTTAAGTGAATTGCATAAAGAAAACATATAATTATATGTATAGATCAAATTTATAGACGACAAAATATGATATGAAACATACATAATGGTACCGTAGTCCGAGCACATGGAATTTGAAGATTTACAGAGTTTAGGAAAATGCAAAGAATAGCATTTACAGCATTTATCATATTAAGACACACATATATATATAGTTTCACAGCAGCAAGCTGCAGAATTTGTGGAAGTACATGTAAATTGGGGACTGGTGACTTTTTGCTTTTTTTTTTTTTTTTTTTTTTAGCAATTTACCAATGTATTTACCTCCTGACCTTGAATATGTTGAGGTGCGCAACCCTTTTCTTCGTGTTCCTCCACGATATTTTATTTAATGTAGCAGAAAGATACTATGGATAAAAAAAATATGAAAAATTAAAAGCAGGTATGGCATCTCGTAGAAAAAATATACAAACAGATGTATTTATGATATAGAGCAAGTAGATAACATTCATACAATAATAAAATCCTCAAACTTTGTGATCTAGTACATATTATGATATGTGTTATATTAAATTTAGAGACGACAAAACATGATATGAAATGGGTGTACATACTCGGAACACATGGAATTTAAGAGTAAACTTAAATGCAAAGGTTAGCATCTACAGCATTTAACATGCAAGTTATTGGGATAATGAACAAGTGATTTAACATAAAGTAAAATATATTAACAACTTACACTGTAGATAGCAAGTTTTTAAAGTGGACAACAAATGCAAACTTCCAGTAAATGGTGGCAATCTCATACACAAGAAGTTGTACAACAAATGATTAATTCGTACCTCATACTGGGTAGCCAAATATCTGGTCAAGTCACTTTCAGGAAGAGAGCCTCAGCAAGTTCAATGTTGATCATTCCCATAGCTACTTCAAACTTTTCTGGCACAATTTCTGAAAGAAAAGATGTATCTTGCAGGGATTTTTATTCAAACTAGGAATAATTCTCATGAATGTAAAAATTTGAAAAGTTTATAGATGACCGACGAATACCAGACACAGAACAGAAAACTCGCTCGGGTCTTAAAATGGCTCAGGTGAGCTAAAATAAATCAATTCATGTTCAGGGTTCGACACTAACATTTTTAGGCTTTGGTACGGCCGGACTAGTGCTTCTTTACTTTTACTAGTCCGTGGTCGATTTTATGAGTCCGTCAAAAGTGAAAATAAATAAATAGAATTATTGTTGCAATGTACTTTTTATACTTTTTTTGAAATAAACGAAGCATTAACATGAAATGTTTATACCAAGAATCCGTTGAAATCGCATAATCAGGAACTACGATCGTATTCCCGATCTCATTCGTTTTTCTTTATAGATGATTACATCATCTAAACATCCGACATCTTTTTTTTTATGTGTCATACTAAATCATTATCACTAAAATGTTTAATTTCATACCAATGAGTCCTAAAATTAAGCGCCGAATTGACTCAGAATTACCTAACTTCCTGCCAAGAACCTAGAAAGCTAAAAATAAATATGGGGTTTTCCAGTGAAAGTTGTCGAAAATTTGAACATCGGTAATTTCTTTTTTCTCCCAAGAAAACTTAATTAGTCCGTTCGGACTAATTAGCTTCAATTTTTATTAGTCCGAATGAAAATGTATTAGTCTGAGACTAACGGACTAAAGTTAATTTCGAACCCTGAGGTGATTTTATTGATCTTATCAGAAAATTTAAGAAATCTTACCGTTGTGTTAATCTTCACACTGCTTTTGTCATTTCTTGTGAGCATTTGGACTCCTGTAAATAATGCATGCATAATTGTGCATCGTAGAATGTGATAGCTATTTTTAATAATTCATGCTTACGTTTTTAACGTTAAAAAATTATGCATAGCTCAGAATCCATTGCTATTGTATTTTTAGGATAAGGAAAATAAGAATATAAACCTCGTATTGTCTACTTGGTATATAGCATTTCAAGTTGTTGCATTATTTTTTATACTCTTATGCTAAAAGATACAAGTTAATAATAACATTGTTTGTTTATTTGTGATAATAGAAAATTTGAGCGGTATGGTTCTCACCATTTTCACAAGCTGTCTACATAGCCGGCGTTATGGGGAATCGTCTCAGGCACAGTCCACACTGCAGCTATTTAAATAATCAAAATAAGTGCTCAATATATTCTTGAGTAGGCATTAAGAAATAAATAATTTATTACATTGTACAACACTCTCTGTAAATGCTGAACAGAGAAACACTTTAGTGACAAAAATTCTGAAACCAATCCCAAACGAGAAAATTCTGGTTAAAATCCATCTTTAAGTTAGATGGTTAAAAGTGTTAAATAATTATTACAAAATTGCCCAAACGTTTTTACTGCCAGGCATTTTATGTGTACAGCCCAGACTAAGGAACAGTAACATTATCAGTAGCAGAGGCAATTATTCATTCAAGGACACATGATAAAATTTTGTACATTGTTCCTACCGCTAAACAGGGTCGTAAATGTCTTCATCTTCTGTTAAAACATAAATTCCATCGAAAGTTTATCATGCTTCTCCTTTTCGAGTAACTCTCTTTCGCCCCTTCCTCCCGTACAACATCATGATCAAGTTCAACATGGCTGCGTGGAACTCTCCAAAAAATTGAATTTCGGCGCGGTGTGTTGTTTTTAAATAAATTGCTTTTCGAGCCCGACTTCGATCCCGATGTAATTGTACTACAGTGGTAGTCGATAGAGAAAAAACTAAGTTATATTCCACAGTTTTGAAAAATCTACATAAGGGTAAATAAATAAAAATGAGAATTAAATAAATTAAAATGAATAGGGTGCCTAAATATTTTTTTTCAAAAATGTTTCAACATAAGTTTACATTAGGTATAAAGAATTATTTATGACATATTCAAAATACCAAAAATGTACTTAAACTTTAAGTATAAGCATATTTACTTTTACATGTCGATATTCTTAAACGGAACGTATAATTATCTCAATTAAACTATATTATTCTCGACGTATTTTGCATTAAATATGATTTTACTTATTTGAAAACTGTATTTAATTATATCACAATATATCTCATGTAAAATGTACCGTTATACATAAATTAAATTCAATACAAGAAATTTACTGGAGTAAACGAATTTATTAAATTATATTAAACGCGACTTTTCATGCAGTGTTTCTGCAGATGATATGCATTGGAAAGAATTGGGTAGATTGTTGAGTGATCTTAATAACAGTGATATACAAAACAATAGAAATTTTCTTGGTTTCAAAAAAGATCCTCTTATGACAGCTATCCATTTTGAACGTAGGTTTGATGCATTAATGAAACATGTTCTGTTGAAAGGTATTAAACCTTTAGGAAAAATTACTGATTATTTTGCTAGAGTAGAATTTCAAAATCGTGGAAGTCCTCATATTCATATGTTCTTCTGGATTGAAAATGTTCCAAACAAAATTGATAGTCATAGTATTGTTCAGCTAAAAGAATACATCAATGAAACGGTAATTTCTGTTATTCCAGATAGGTCTGTTGATAGCGAAATTCATGACTTGGTCAAAAAGCTTCAATCACACAGTCATACCTCATACTGCTCAAATATTTACAGATCAAAATGTAGATTTGATTTTCCAAAACAGCAAGCAAGTGAGACAAAAATATTTGCAAATATTAATCTTTCCAAGAAAACAAAAGGAAAATTTTACGTAACTCGTAGAGGAGAGCACGATGTCATGATAAATTCATACAATCCTGTCATTTTAAGGCACTGGCGAGCCAATATGGATATACAACTGATATGTAATGCTGAGGGTGCAGCATATTATGTTTGTAGTTACATATGTAAATCTAAACCTGACGAATTAAAGAATGCTCTAGGTCATCTAATTCATGACATTTTTGAAGCAAACCCAAGCATTCCAAGACATGTCAGATTGTTAAAAATAGGGCTTACTGTTTTAAGACATAGGAGGATGAGCAGTCAGGAAGCTGCTTATAGGATGAGTAATCTAAATTTGATCCATACCAGTAGAAGGTTTATTTACTTAAACACCCGTCAACCATTTAAAAGGTTTAAAATTT